GGGGGGGTGGGGGGGAAGGGGAGGGTGATGGTCTTTTGAATACATATGGTAGTACTGTAATCGTAATCTTTCACCTGTCGCATGTGACCATGTGCAATTCCATGCTTGTGTTGCTTTCCTTCCCTGAATTTTCAGCAATGTTCATTTTCCATTGCCTTGGATTGGGTAGTTACACTTACCTTTTCTCATGTTTAACTTCTTAATCTAATTTACTTTTGTTTCTGATGGTCTGGCTTTCGTAATATGTTAGATTGCTCGAATGCTTACTGTTAAACGGGAGCGTGAGATGGAAGAAGGAATTAACAAAAGGATATCCAGGAAGCTTGATCGGAAATGGAAGAAAAGCATTGTTCCTAGACCACCTCCTTCTTTGAAGAAATTGCGAGAGGAAGAGGCAGCTGAAGAGGCTAAGGAATCTGCCTGATTTTAACACATTTTCATTGGTAAATGTTATATTTTCATCTCTCTTCTTTTCTCATTTGGTGCTCCTTTCAGGTCAAATAGTACAAGGTGATTCTTTTTTTGTGTAAGGCTGTTTGTTTTGCAGATGATTATTCTTGGCATGTAATTTTAATCCTCTATATGGTGCCATTTCTTTTCCAGTTAAAATTTGTGTGAATTTGATAGAGTAGCTAATGTTGTGATTCTTTTCCTGAATTTCCAGTTACATGCTACCAGACAATATAGTCAAATTTTAGATGAACAGTGTAGTCAACCCTCAATTGAGTGAATATCTTTTACCCCTCAATAGATGAGCAATATAGTCAAACCACAAGGCTGAATCAAAGAGAACTGTTGTTATTATTGGTGAAATAGACTAATATTATAAGTGATAGAGGTTGCTTTCTTTAAGAATTGAGGATACAGCCATACAGTATATTCCAAAGAGGGTATTGAATGTCAATTTTTTCTGAAAGACTGAGTTTTATATCTAAAACTAGAAGGCTGCTGTATAATTTAAATGCATATCAAAATAGAGCCATACTTGAGGCTACTTTTGATGGTGATGGAAAAGCTTCTTTCAATTATCAGAAATTGCCTCTCTACCTCCCAAGGTACGGTAAGGTCTGCGTACACATTACCCTCCCAAGGCCCCGCTTGTGGGATTACACTGGGTATGTTGTTGTTGTTGTTGTTATACAGGGATATATCCTGTTTCCCAAATGTTATTGCTCCCAGAGCATTGATTTTGATTTGTAGTTCTGGTGTAAGTTTCATTGTTGTCCGTTGTCGGTTAGTATGCAGATAGTGTTTTTCATTATTTTTAGATTATTGAATAAGATGCTTATGGGTTTTAATAGTCTCAAATCTCATTTTAGTTAGATATAGTATAGCTACTTCCTGGAACGACACTCCAGGTGGGATGCAAACATATCAGTAACTAATGAACATCCTTTGCTCCCTCTCCTCTTCATTTGGTTCTCCAATATTTAGCAAACGAGTTGGCTGAATTTAATACCATGTCAATGCTTCTCTTTAATGCCAATATCCATATACTAATCGCTGAATAGTGTGAAACCATTTAATACAATACAGAACGCGGTGATGTTTGTTGGCATACTGACAACCGCTTCATCCAGATGCATGAATATAATGATGTTTGTTCTTAATAAATTCAAATCTTCAACCACTGTAACTCCAAACGCCTTAGTTGGGCGTTGAGAGATGGTAGGTTTGGTCATCTCACCAAGAGAAGGGCGGTGGATCTGTTGGATTTTCCCAAGTTTTTGATAATCACAACTGGATTGTCAATATTGAACAAAAAACCTCGATAATCAAGTATTAAATCATAAGCATTTATCAAGATGTAATTTTTTTTTTTGATAGTATTGCATTGTGAGTTCATGGCTCATGATTATGACAAGGGATATAGCATAATAATGGCATTTCCAAGCATCTAAAAGAAAAATAGGGTGGTAGTTTACCAAGATACTATTTTAACCTTAAGTTGTGCCTATTTTACATTAACTGATAATAATATTGAAATGGAAAGGGTATGAAATGTTTAGTTCTGTGACGAGTCACCAAAAATGCTTCTCAGAATTGAAGAGCCTTCATTCCCATCACTGTTGTTACCACCACCTACGAATCCCTGCATGATCGTTTGACCAACCTGCTGAGCTGCAACTTCCACAAGTCCTTGAAATGCAGCATTCATCATATCATTGTTTGTCCCAGGAGACTGTATGTATTGATCAGGCCTAACCAGTCCTTGAATTAGAGGAGGTTGCAGGGATTGGTGCTGGGGGATTGAACCTGTACTTGTACTATAGAGTAATGGGTTTGGCCTTGCTTGGGCTGTACCCAGACTGGCCTGTGTGTACTGATTTGGCATTGCTTGTCCTGATAATATGGGAGTCTGTGGGAGCTGGTTTCCCATTGCACCTGAACTTGCACTTTGCACCAACTGGTTAGGCCTCTTTTTTTCCACCATAGGAGGGTGCTGGAACTGGTTATGTGAACTTGTTGCCCCAGGGAATGAATGGTGGTGCTGGAGGATAGTTGACCCTTGAACTGCTGATTTTGGGGAAGAATTTGAACAATCCAAATGAACATCAAAATCACAAGTGCCACATCTATAAAGCCACTGCTTAACTCCAATCTTCTGGCATACATCACAAGAGAAACCTTTGGCATCAGCATAAGGATTCTTGAAGGTGAGTTCCAGCTGGCATTGATGCAATTGATGTGTGATTTTGAGGGGTTTTGATGCACAGATCACATGGAGATCATATTCACAGTCTCTGCAGTGATAGCTGAATCCATCTCCGCGGTGGTTGCAGGCATCACAATTGAAAAGGCCACGGGGGTATTTAGACCTCGGAAGGAGAGCCAGAGGGTGGTCTGGATGAGCAGGGTGATTTATCAGCTTTGGGAACTGAGTACAGCTCAAATGGAGGGTAAAATTGCAAGGCTTGCATGTGTACATTTGGGGTGATGATGGTAGTTTGCATCCTGAACAAGGTGTGGGATTATTCTGGAGTTGGATGCATAGCTCTAATTCATGTGGATGACTGAAGTGCTTGAGTTTTGGAGTTGGATCACTATTCAACTTCAACCTCCCCATCAACCTTCCTCTGTTGTACTCTTCTCTTCTCCTCTCCTCTCTTCTCTTTATTAGTACTAGTTAGTATCTTGTTTGTGATGCAACTTGTTATTAATGCAATGAGATAGAGGTGTTGAGGAGATGAATTAGAAGCAAAAGACAAACAATTTGTTGACTTTTGGAAGTCAAATTCCAACATGGTTCTTTCACTGAATTGGATGTGTAGTGATGCAAACTGCATTGAATGAACTTGTTTGACTAATTCTTTAACCTGGTTTACTTAATTTCAGTGTGGCAAGGATTGGTTGGATAGTCTTTAGTTTCTCGGTCAAGAAGAAAGATGATCGTTGAATTTTTTACTAGTGAGTAGTGACATAACTTATTATGTAAGGCCCCTTACTTTAATGCGACATTAACATGACAAAAAATAAGCCTTGTATTATCTCCTGACGAACCGTATTCTGCTATACATATACATGTATAGTTAGTAAAAGTTTCAAAGAAATTCATTCATTTTATAATTTGAGACTTATATTATCTCCTGGCGAACCGTATTCTACTAACCCCTTCGCCTTATTCAATTGTGCATCGTTGTCCCTTGTAGTAACGGAGACAAGATTTTCATCATTTACACTATGTGTGTGATTCTGGCAATGAACCCCCTTTGCTCCTCTAGCTGCATTTTGGGCTCTTGGGATATCTCGTGTATAAAATAAAATGATTAACAGGCTATCAGACCTCATTAAGCCAATCTTCTTTTGCAAAAAATCTGGAATCGTACTTCAATTATTTGGATCGACATTTTCTCTTGATCACAATTGGAAGATTCAGATGAAATTAAATAGTACATTGCATTTTGTAGTATAATTATTTTGAGTCTGAACGCAGAAACCAAGGAGCAACTCCATTAAAAGTGGCTCGAAGATTAAGGCTGTCTTTTCTATTTTTACTGGGATAGGATTTATAGTCCCTTTATTATTTGTCGACATATAATACTTAAGAAAATTTAATTCAAATTATATTTTACTAAATTAATTTTATTAATAATGTTTTTGAAATTTTAAATTTAATTATTATTATAATTATTTTAGGTAACTATTTAATAATAAAAATAGTATGAGAAAGAAGTATTGATAAAACTTTATTGATTTACAAAAATAGATTAATAAATTGTTTCTATTTCCCTTAAACAAGGAACCGGAGGAAGTACTAATTTACTTACTTTTGGTATAAACACCCAATCGATAAAGTTTTTACCAAATTGTTGTTTCCCCTAAATATTGATTTGTTTTAACATGTTCATAAATTATTGGTTCCCTTAATAAAAATTCTGGTCCAATATTAAATTCAACTACTCTTACCTCCTATTTTTAGCGTGGTTATTAAATTCTAGCCCACCTTCATTTAAATTACAAATTACCCCATGAATACTTATTTCATCTAGAGGATAGTTTAGTAATTTCAGACAGTAAGCCTTGATTAGATTTGAGGAGAAGCTTCTTCAAACTTGTCAATTAAGAAATATCGTTTTGTGTGAAATCAAAACCACCAAAATTCTACATAAGAAGAAGAAGATCATCTTCAGAAGCAACAAAGCTTCAGAAAAAATGGCGTTACAGTGGATGATACTGACGTATGTTGTAGCGGCAGAGGCAGCCATAGCAATTCTCCTGACATTGCCATCTCCAAAAGCAATCAAATCTCGTTTCGTTTCCCTAATTTCACTCACTCTTCAGCCTTCTTTATTCATCATACCCTTCGCCGGTTTCCAGCTCCTTGGTACTAATTAATACGCTTTTTCTTTTATCTATCTATTGGAATTTGTGTGTAATTTTGTGTTTTGTTTTGATTAGATATATATTGGAAGAATGAGCATCGGTTGATGTGCACCGGTGAGATCTGCACTGCTGCTGAGAGAGACCGCTACGAGAGATCGGTAAATTTTCTCTATCGTTTATTTTTTACAGGATTGTATATTGATTAAACTGAACTTGGTGATTATTAGGTCTAGAAGATAGTATTTTAGCACTGATTAACGAGTTGATTGCATTTGTGTTTTTCTAATTTTGAGACCTAGAAATTGAGGAATTCTCAATATGTGATCCTTGCACTCTTATTGTTACTGAAGAAACCTCAGGGGATTACACCATGGAATTATCTAGCTCTTCCATCCTTTTTTTGATTAATGTGTGTTGCTTTACACTCCTTTCTATTTTCTACAAGCCTTGTGCTTAAGTTTTCTTCGATAGAGTGGTCTACGCGGCCAAGTTTGATCCAGGATTTGAAGTTGTTGGGTTCTTATAATGATCTCAAGTTAATATATACTCTAATAACAATTGAATTCACGGTCTAATATTTGTAAATTTTTATATATTTCTTAATACAAATACAGGTGTTTACGTGAATTGATACCTTATAGGCTAGGTCAACCCCGGCCCAGTTTCACTCTTTCTAGAATTGGATAGAGATATAAAATCAGGCTGACATTTTCTTGATTACTGTGTTTCCTGGACTTGGATATGTTAGTCAGACATTGGTTTTTTTTTAGGTGTCTAATTTGCAAAGGACCTTAGATTTATTATAAAGAGGAATGGGCAGATTGTTGGAGATTGATATAAAGATATGAGTAATAAAATGAACACTATACATGATATTTGACTATCTGGTCATCATGTAAAGGGAAAATACCTTTTTAGGTGGGAGGATACTTGCTGATTTAAACTTAAAGAAGAAAACAACAAGGGAGGGATTTATTATCTATATTGACTTGTCAAAAATGCTCTTCTTCAAATTGGAATCGACTACTACTTCTTAGCGTTGCATGGTTGGTAGAAGTTGAAACATCCAAACTACTTCAACCGACTACAACGCATGCCCCACTCTACTATACCAATATACGTCATGTTGACAATTCTCACTGAATAGTCTGAATTGGTAAAAAGAGCGGCAATATGATAAACTAAGACAACAAGTAAAATTGGTTTTTTGGTAGCTCCCATTAATCTATGTGGCATTAAAGGGAAAGTAACTAAGGGGTGTCTTCTTCATGGTTTTCACATGAACTTATTAGGGGTTGTACTAGTGCCAAACTTCGGTGAGTCGGTGACACAAAAACAGGAGCAACACGTGCAAGATCAAGTGATGATGAAAATATGAGCCAATTGGGGAAAGTAATTTTCATTGCTTTGAAAAGTAGAAATTTCAGTAATCTGCTGGCAAATTGAAGGAAACGTGGGGAGAAACCATAATTTGTTGTTGTTCTTTTCCAAGTAAGGGAAGTGGTGAAATTGTTTCATTGATTTGGTATCTGTGTAAATGCATCTAGGCAGAATGAAACCTTAACTCAAAGGTCAATACACTTTGTTTGGACGGATTTTTTTTCATTTTTCTTTTATCCTTTTCTTTTTTCCCTTTCTACTTCTTAATGGGGGAGTTTGCACCATAAGGAAATACTTTGTGCCTTTTTATAAATGTGCTGCTTACCTTTCACCTTTTTTGCCACTCATCTATTTTCATATTGTTGAGAAGAAGCATACACAAACATTAACTAAATGGTTAGTCCAAGGATGAATTTATATGGTTGTTTCAGGGGTGGCTTCTCTCTCTTTTTTTATTTAAATGTTTATATACACATTGAGTTGGAAAAAAATATATACCGATTGAGCAAAAAGAAGTTTTGTGTTAATATACGGAGTTGGGTTGGGCATCATGGTGGGAAACAGATCATTTGATGACTGCTATTAGCATGAAAGGCTTGCAAACTTATTACTGTAACATCACTTCTTATTTCATCTACCTGCAGCCATGGATCAAATGCATTAGATCTACTTCAGTGGATCTGAATCCAAAGATTGAGTTCAGTCTTAGCAATATAATCTACCTGATTCCTGTTCCTTAAAAATATCAAGTTCAGATATATGAGAAACCATTCACTACTGTATTTCCTTTCCAAACCCGCTTTGATATGCTTTACTTGAACCGAGGGTCTTTACTCTTTCGGAAACAACCTCTCTACTTTCACAAGTAGGGGTAAGGTCTACGTGCACATCATCCTCCCCAGACCCACTTGTGGGATTACACTAGCTATGTTGTTGTAGAAATATGAGAAACCACAACCTATGGAATGACATTTTAGGTTTTTCCTATTGCTCTCATACATTGGTTCTGAGAGACATTATTCCAAGTATCCCCTTCACCAATAACTTGAACGTACTGACATCACATATGAAGCATGAGTTGCACTTATCCCCCCTCGCCTCTTTCCTATTTATGCAAAACGATACAGCAGCTCAGTGACAACAAAATGCATCTACCATTACGTTCTGGCTGTATAACCTCATCAGTCTCCCTTAATTATATGCAGATCTACAAGGCTCAAAGAAATGCTATTCTGTGTGTAGCAGCATGCCTTCTCTACTGGTACATATGCTTAATCCCTTGGGACCTTATATTTTGATGCAAAGCAATCTATTTTTCAGTTCATTACGAAGTGTTTTTATGTGTGTGTATAGGTGTATCTATCGTGTCTGCAAGTATTACAAGGAGATTCAGAGCGTTGAGGAGGTGGAAAAGAGACTCAAAGACGAGTAGGTTTTTTAGGCTGCAGCTCTTCCACTAGTATTTGAGATCTAGTTGTAGCATAGCTCAAACGGTTCCCTTAGTACTTTGTAATGTGATATGAATCTTGTGTTTCGCTTTGCTGCTGCCATCTTATGACATGCTTTTGTTAGGTTTTTGTGTGCTCCTCTTACACGAGGTGGTTCTTTTTTATTTGAAAAACATGTATGTTAGTGGTCGTTACCACAGTCACCTATATACATTCTATACTATCTACTTTCATCTTCTCAAGTTTCTTGTATAATTACATTCTGTAATGCCACGTTGGGACTAGAACAACTTTACAAGGTTACCAAGAAAACTTATCGACTTAACACTTATTTATATCTAGAAAGAACTACTAGGTATAAGATAACCCAAAGGTAGCGGCTGCGGGTTTCCCTTGTCGTAAAAAAAAAAAAAACTTTATACTAGCATAATTACAGTGAAATAAATATTTATATTTTATAAATAATTAGTATAAATTTTTTGTTTCCTTTTTCAATAGTGTACATCTGGGGGGAAAATGGCAAAAATCAACATAGAGCGATAGTTCTTTTTGATGTATTCAGCATTTTTTGGTTATGGAAGAGAGAAAAAGTAGGCTCTCCTTTCTTTTTATCAACACTGGAGTTTGGTATAGATTGCAACATATACTGACATTTTGGCTACAGCATTAATCTCGGGATTATAATTATCTAATGTGATCCCACACTGGGCACTGCTATATCATTATAAAATCTTTTATAATTGTAATATTCACAAATCACTGTCATTCTTTTCAGTGTAGGTAAATAATTGTAATATTCACAAATCACTGCTATTCTTGTAAATAAGTCTTAAGTA